AAGAAGGTCCTGAATGTCAATGACACGTTATTATATATTAAATCCCTGAGGTTCTGGCCAAGATGGAGCAACAGAGACCAGATTTACGCCACTACATAAAACAAAAAAAAAACTCAAGTTTTATGTATCAGTGGTTTTTAAGCCATCAGGCAGGCAAAGAAGAATGTAATCAAAGAGAGATGGGAAACAAGATGAGCAGTACAATTGCCCCAGATTCCTGCCTTGTGTAAGTTTTTTAGGCTGTGACATAGGGAGGGAGAACCTGGGCAGAACCAAGCAAAATCACCGGGTTGAGGAGGCCAAGGTGAGAGAGCTTCCAGGAGATCAAGGAAGCTAGACTTTTCTGGACAGGGTAATATAAAGGACAGAGACAGAATGAGAGACAAAGAGAAAACTTCAGAGAGTTACAGAGGGCCTCCCTCAAATAGGAAACCCTGGTGGTGCAATGGTTAAGAGCTTGGCTGCTAACCAAAAGGCCAGCAAATCAAACCCAACAGCTGCTCCTTGGAAACTCTATGCGGCAGTTCTACTCTGTCCTCTACAGTCACTATGAGTCAGAATCGACTCCACGGCAGCGGGGTTGGTTTTTTGAGATTTTTTTGGCCCTCAGTATTCAGATGAGTACAGATAAGTCCATAAATGTGAGAAAAGTACTTGAGGACTGGGAAAGAACAATATGAGAAGGTTAGTGGGAACTGTGGTTGGTGCTCATACAACGTCATAAATGGCATATGCTCCCACTAGCCAGATTGAAGAATCTCATAATTTATGGGACACTGGGTATAGTACAAGGAGCCCTGGTGGTGCAGTGGTTAAACACTCAGTTGCTAACTGAAAGCTCAGTGGTTTGAGCCCACCAGGTGCTCCAAGGGGGGAAGATGTGTCAGTCTGCCTCCTTAAAGATTTACAGCCTTGGAAACCCTATGGGGCAGCTCTAATCTGTCATAAAGGGTGGCTGTGAGTTGAGATTGACTTGATGGAAACAGGTTTGGTTTTGAGTATAGTATTCAGGAAGGTCTTGCCTGAATAGTAGGAAATAAATAGCTTTAGACTGAGCCTTGCTCTGGATTTACCTAACAAGTCTTAAAAGCAACAACTGAAAGGATCAAACAGCATCCCAAAAGAAAGCTCAAGAATATTATAGGATTACAAAATTATCCAGCACCCAACCAGGTAAAATTTACAATGAATGACATCTAATTAAACATTTCCAGGCATGCAAAGGAGCAGGAAAACATCATCCATAATGAGAAGAAAAAACAATCAAAACTTACCCAGAACTGACACATATACTGGAATTAGCAGACAAGGACATTAAGACAGTAATCATAATTTTAACCTGTATGTTCCAAAAGTCAAGTAGAGATATTATATGTATTATATATATATTAAGGAAACACACACACACACTCACACATAAATGCAAACCCATTGCCATCGAACCAATTCTGACTCATGGTAACCCCATGTGTTCAATAGTAAAACTGAGCTCCGTAGAGTTTTCTTGGTTGTAATCTTTACAGAAGTAGATCGCCAGGCTTTTTGCTCATGGTGCTGCTGGGTGAGTTTGAACTGACAATCTTTCAGTTAGTAGTCAAGTGTAAGTCATTTGTGCCACCTAAAAAGACTCAAATTGGAGATGAAGACTACAGTGTCTCAAATGAAAAATAAGTTAGATGGGATAACAGCAGATTAGATATTGCAGATAAGTAAACTTGAAAACAACAAAAGAAACTATCAAAAATGAAACAGAGAAAAATAACTTTAAAAAAATTAAAAGTATATCAGTGATCTCGGGAAAAACTAATAAGCCTAGTATACATGTATTTGGGATTCCCAAAGGAAGGGAGTCAGAAGTATTAGAATAAATAATGGCCAAAATCTTTCCAAATTTTATGAAAACTGTAAATCCACAGACCCAAGAAGCTCAATGAAAGCACAAGTAACATGAAGAAAACTATACGAATGTATATCTCATCAAATTACTCAAAGTCAGGGAGAAAGAGAAAATCTTAAAAGCAGCCAGAGAAAACAAGAAATGTTATGTACAGAGGAACAAAGAAAAGGATGATGGAAATGCAAGTGAGAAGACAGTGGAACAATATCTTTAAATTACTGGAAGAAAAGAACTGTCAACCTGGAATTCTATACCCAGCAAACATACCTTTCAAAACATGAAGGTGAAATAAAAACTTCTTAGAGGATACTAATGTGTACATTGAATCTCCTTTTTCTGTGTTCCACAACTATCTTTTTCTTGCTAGTTTTTTAACTCTTTTTTTAAAATTTCCATATAATTATTTTTTATTTCCTCAATCTTGACCCCATGTCCTTTGCCATGTTTTCAGCAATGTCTAGTCTTTCTTATGTTTTCAATACGATCTTTATTTCTGAGGTTTTGTTTTTTCTTGCTTCTTCTTAAAGATTTGCCAGCTCATTTCATTGCCTCCTGTTTTCTTGCCATATTTAACTGACAAGTTTTATCTCTACTTGTTTTTGTTTTAGAGGCAATTGCTTCATTAAGGAATTTTTTTTTTTTAACACGGAGGTTTGTTAACATTTTTATTCATGCTTATCTACTCTGCTCTCTGCCCAGAAATGCTAATTTGTATGAAGTACAGCAGTAGGCTCCCTGTCTTATGGCTTCTGGTGTATTCAGCCAATGGAGATATCACCAGAAGATTGGAGAGATGGAGAGGAATGAAATTGTGGCATTTATTCCACTGGCTTGCTTTCTGCAGTGTTGCCTTTTGATGATCACATTATTCAAAGCAGCCCTTTCCACATTTCTCCCTCCTTCCAGGTTCTGGTAACCACTCTTATCTATTGCCAATTCAGGCCAAATGTGCTGTTATTAACCCAAGAGTACAGCACTGTTGTTTGTGGTTTCCTTACAGGTGCCCACACCTTTGTAATTAGTCCCTTAATTAAACCTCCGTTGTATTATCCTGAGTTGAGTAAGACCATCTATTTTCTGATGGGACCTTGTGTGGATGTAAGCTAAACCTGATTTATCCAACTGACATTCCTTTTCCCAAACCTGAAGCATTAAATATTCTGGGTTTAGTATTAATAAAGTGGGTAAGTAGTTTATCTTCCTTGTGGTCCCAATAGATAATCTGATAGTGACCTTTTTATGCATAAAATTTTTATTAAAGACTTATTTGCCATCAAGTGATAAAATAACTGGTTGAGAGGAAAATAAAATGATCAGGGATCAGTAAATCAAAAATAGAGAGATTTTTTCTTGATCTTGGTAATGTCTGAGATCTATTCTACTCTCCAACTCAATAATTTTCACAGTGAAATATCAATGTTTACCATTATCCAGATTGAGAAATACTGCGCACAAATCCTCATCTGTCCAGGGTTAGTAAGTCATTGGCTTGTTCTTCATTATGCAAGTGGCTTCGATCCCAGGCAGAGGCCTCATGGACAGATAACTGCTATTTCAGGACAGAATCCCAGATTTCACAATTCCAAGCCCCAAGTGGCCTGTCATTTGTCCTCCTCTTCCCAATATATATAACAATGACAGGAAAAATAATAACACTCCATTTATTGAGTCTTTGCTAAGGCTCGGAACCATTATTTGCACCTTATATAGTCTCATTTAGTTTTCATGTCAAGTCTCTGAAGTAGTTTCTATTTTTCCATTCTACATCGGAGGAAACAATGTCAGAGAGACACAAGACCTCTCTCATATAAGGAAAAGGTTCTAAGGTACGTCTCTAAATGATGCCTATATAATCTGGACCTGCATTGTCCAATGCAGTAACCATCAACCACATGTGGCTACTTAAATGTGGCTACTCAGAATTAGGATGTGGGTCTCCATGAGTTGGAATCAACTTGACAGCAATGGGTTTAACGGGGCAAGTGTTAAATACGTACCAGAATTCAAAGAGCTTAATATGAATGAAAGAAGGTCAGATATCTCAAGAAGTTTCATATTAATTATACACTTAAATGATAATATTTTGGATACAATGAGTTAAATAAAGTTTATTATTATAATTAATTTCACCTCTCCTTAATTTCTAACTACAGCAACTAGAAAATTGTACACTGCATATGTGGTTCACATTTGTGGCTTGCATTATATTTCCATTGGATGGCATTAAACTAGACTTTCATTTGCAGCAAGTCATCAACTGTTTGAATTATCTTTTGCCATTTCATTATGTTTCACAATTGTATGAATCAGGAGTCCAGGCAGGATGGGCAGGGCAATTTTTCTGCACCACTTGGTGTGGGCTGGGCTCACTCCATAGTATTCTCATGGCAGCTAGGCTGGTCTGTAGGGCCCAAGATGCTTCACTTGCACACCTGGTTCCTTGCTGGAAGGCGGAGCTCACCTGGGCTCATAGTCCTCTCCCCTCCATGCCATCTTAGGCATCTCCAGGTGTTCTGTCTGGCTGCCTAGCATATATTGAAAACTAACTCTCAGAACCCAATGCTTTAGTAAGCTGCATATACTGAGCTATAACTAATCACAATCAGTCTGTAAGTGACTATTACTTAAGACATACCGTGCGCCCTAACACATTGATTAAATGTAGTTTAAGTACACTGGTGTTTATCTTGTTCTGTGACAGCAGGATTACAAAGTATTTTGAAATATGTTTAATAGTAATAATAATAATAATGGCAAATTCTTAAAGGCAAAAAGAGGAATAAGCATCCATTTTTTATTGGCTTAATAATGACATGAAGCATTAGATTAACACTGATCAATAGCATTTGAGCCACTACAATTTATTTTCTATAAGGATACACATTTACAGGGTTTTGGACCTGTATTAGCTCCCTGGGTGGCACAGATGGTTAAGCACTTGACTACTAACCAAAAGGTTGGCAGTTCAAACCCAATCAGAGATGCCTTGGAAAAAAAGCCTTGAGATCTGCTTCCGAAAGTTCACGGCCTTGAAAACTCTATGGAATAGCTCTGCTCTGAAACACATAGGGTCACCATCAGTCAGAATCGACTCAGTAGCAACTGGTTTGGGTTTTTTGTTTTTTTTTTGGCAGGGGGTGGTTAAGACTTGTATTGAAATTTTCTTGCAAACAGGTATTAGTGAATTAGGAAAGAGGATTAATATTATTTTGAGTACCACATGGCAGGCACTATGCCAGTAATTTAGCACATGTCTTGTTTCAGCTCCACCAAAGCCCTGTAATACAGGACACTGGGGCTCAGAGATTGTAAATACCTCAACAAAGATTTTGAAGTTTTAAATTCAGAACTCTGAATTACTCCAAAATTCTTTTACATAAACTATCCTGCCTTCTTAACCACTAAGGGCATTGTTTGGTTATTTGATTCATTAAATATAAAGTCTCAAAGGCACTATTATTATAAGCAAAGCTTAAGAGTAAGTCAAATTCTATATTAAATAATTAGAATCTAAGTTGACTTTCTTGGTTGTTTTTATTTAGTTTAATCCATTCCAGTGTTGATTTTACTTATGGTCATACAAAACCAAAACCAAACCCATCGCTGTCACGTCTTTCTCCCACAGAGTGGCTGGTGGGTTCGAACTGCCAACCTTTCTTTCAGTTATCAGCCGAGCACATACAGGATCCCTTAAAAAAAAACTTAAGAATAGTCCACAGTCTCAAAGCTTGGGCTCTAATACATTCTGCTGGCAAGCTGAGACCAAATTTAAGTCTACCTGCTTTCTTTCTTCTTCAATCTTTTTTTTTTTTTTTTTTTTTCCTACTTAATGGATTCATGTCTGAGAGGCTAGATCTGGAAAGTAAACTCCGGTTCCTTGGTACCTACTATGTCTCAATCGCAGTCAAATCACATCAACGCTTACTCACTCCTGAAAAGGTTTCCTACAACTCTCTTGACTACTATATCTGAACTAATGCTTTCCTCCAAATACCAAAGCCAGAAGCTATAGCTTACTGGCTCTAAGGGGTTTTCAAGAGGCAGTTACCTCAAGTTAAGTGGAAGGTAAATCAGTTGAGGCCTCTCTAGAGTTCGGTTCATCTATAGAGTCCCTGCCTCTGGGTTCTCTGGACCTTGAAGAATGACTAAAGTTTAGAGGAGAGAAAGAACACACTAGGATCAGAGCTCAGGTGAGAGCAAATGCATAGAGGAGAACAGCCTGTAGAGGACACAAGGAAAGCTAGGAGCTGTGTTCAACTGGAATAAATACCACCTGAAGGAAAGTGGTTGGAGCTGAATCTAGAAGGGTTGGATGAAGCTAAATTGTGTGGGGTTAAGGAGATTGAATATATTCTATGGTTAATGACGAGCTGGTAACGGTTCTTTAAGGAGAGGGACATAATCAATTTTCATTAACTTTTAATAGAAAAATAATTTTGGTGACCATGAAGAGCAGAGAATTTGAAGATTTTTGAAATCACAGTGGCACCCAATGCATTGAAACTGTTTCTTGACAGTAGTGGGGAAACTGATTACAAAGCAAGTGAGGTAGGTGCTTAATGAATAACTCCACGTATGAAACACAGCATATCTAGGCAACAGACAGTAGTTAATGCAATACAAATTTCATTATAAAGAACTAACTGAGAATCTTCTATCTCTGAAAAATTTTGAATAAAGTGTATCCGGAATACATGATGGGGAATAAAACACACAACTATTACTAGGAGGAAGAAGAGGCTCTTGATTTGAGCTCTATACTCTTGATGGGCCCACGTGTCAGGCCAATGAGTCTTAGCCAGTTGAAAAATGACAGCCATCTTTATTAGAAAGAGGACCACAACGATTGTCATCATAAAGACAATGATAGAATAGTTTATGATGATTAATTCCCTGCAGTTGAGATCTTTGTAGAACTCAAAGCATCGATGTTGTTCTGAGTGACTTGGATCTATGCCATATTTTAAGAAAAATACTGGCAAAAAAATGAGGCTCCCCACCATCCAAACAGTAATGCTTAAAACTACTGCATGGTACCTCTGCAAACGTTGCATTTGGAGTTTTTTAAAATAGATGAGTAGTCGCAATATGACAATGACCACATAGAAAACAAAGGTAAAGTACATATGACCATATATTATGCTGCTAACCACTCGGCAGGTAAATGATCCAAACTTCCAGACAACTGATACGTAATAGCTGAGGCGGAATGGAAGAGTGACCAGAAGGATCGAGTGTAGCACTATAATATTGACGATGATTGTGGCAATCATTGACTGACTCTTCCTTTTGAACATCATCCGTGACATCATAACGGTTCCGGCAGTGCCTCCGAGCAAAACCACGCTGTACAGTGCTATCAGAATCCTCCTACAACGCAAGTCACAGTGGTCTAGGTCTACACTGGAGGTGTTTGACAAAGTGGTTGTATTGATCAGCTCCATGTTTTGCCACGAAGAGCTTAAAAGAGCATAAAACTTAAATCAAACATTTTTACAGAATTAGGATGGATATATTGAAAGTATATTGTAACTGCACATTAGTCATATTGAATTTTGAAATCCCAGGCAATCATTTACAAACCTCAAATTGTGCACCAAATAAATATTGTCAGAGACTTCATTTAAGTATGCAAACATATTGAAGAGACAGAGGTGGGTGATATAAAATATCAAAAATAACAAGTTTGAATATAAAATTCAGCACTGTGCCCTCAGATATGTTTAACCACACATACCAGGGCCAGGAGGGTGTGAGACATGTTAACCTCAGGTGTAAAATTTAAGGAAGTGACAAAAACTCTGTAATCAAAATAAATAAGATCTTAACACAATATTTTTTAAAAGTCAAAATTAGAATACTCCCAAAGTCTCAAAGGTTTGGACTCTAAAACATTCTCCTGGCAACGTTAGACTAAGTCTAAATCTAGCAAAAAATTCATCTTGAAAAAAATAGCAAAATTTTAAATAAAGACCAGATCAGTTTCCAACCAGCCCACGTTCATGTCAGATCTGTAAAAGATCATCCCTCCTATTGTCAGGCAAATACACTGAGGATAATGTAGAGAAAGCCATATAAAACACGTGCAATTATTGAAAGAAGGTGTATCAGATAACACTTTAGAAGGGTTTCTGTGAGCAGCCTTTGAGCAGGGAGTCACATATGATATACATATTATTTTTGTTAGCTGCTATCTAGTTGGCTTTGACTCATGGAGGCCCTACGTAAAACAGAACGAAATGTTGCTAGGTCCTGCATTACCTTCAGGATCATTGGCATGTTTGAGTCCAGTTGGACAATATTCTGTAACATACACACACACACATATATATATATATGTATATATCAGTCATCTGTACCCTTTTCTCCTTCTTAACCATCCATCTTTTTCTGGACTGGTGTGTTGCATTTAGAAGCCCCTGGGTGGTGCAGATGGGTAAGTGCTTGACTGCTAACCAAAAGGATGGAGGTTTGAACCCGCTCACTTCTTCATGTGTCTCCTGCCCACCTGGCCAGAGGCAGATCTAATCATTTGTATGTGAGCGAGAATTTATTCCACAGTGGAAATCTAAATATTTCGAAGATTTTCTTTTGCTACTATAGTATATTCTTAGAATAACAAATTTTGGGGTTTGTGAAAAATCATATTGGACCTAGTATATTTATTACCTTCAAAATAAGATTTTACTGTAACATTAAAAGATAATTAGAACTTGCATAACAATCTAAATTTGTATTTACATATGCACTTCAATAAAACACATGCATATAAAATATATAATATTTAACAAGATTTTTGTGTGAAACAGAAGAGTTATATATGAATTTATAAATGACAAATATGATACTGATTTAATTTTAAAATTTTGGCAGTCCTCAAGTCTAAGCTGACAAGATTTAAGTCTGTAATTATCTTAAAGCAATAAAAACCTAAATTATCAGTTTCATGATTTAAATGGAAAAAAATCTCATAAGACAGGGTGATATTTGGGAATAAACAGTGAACACAACCACTGGCTAATCATGGGACAGACACTTAACTCTAAGGTTGTCTCTTCAACTGTAAAATGGGAAATTACTAATATCTACTTTGCAAGATGCTTGTAAGGTTTAAGTGGCATTGCATATGTAAAGAATTTAACCAAGCCCCTGACATATAATAGATCATCAAAGGGTTATCTCCTTCTATAATGTATGCAGAGATACTTCATAAATACAAGTTGCCTTTCTTTTTTAGTTGCCTCTCAGAATTGTACCATGAATATTTAAAATCTTAGGCGTAAACTCAAAAGTAAAGAAGAAGTTAGATGATTGCTTTTCTTTTCTCTCAAGACCTCACCCTTATAATAACACCCCTATCCCAATCTCATCCTCCAGAGCCTGCAATTTCTGGGTATTTCTGTTTTTGCTTATTAATACCAAGTACTGAAATTTCTGTCCCTGAACTCTTCCTAGAAACAAATGATTACCCAATCCACTTACTTGGTCTTTTCCTCTTATGATTTGCTTCTGGTAGAAGACACAAGGCGCTATGGTCATTTGTTGATTGTCTATATCAGGCTAGGCAGTAAGACCAGTTCTCTAGAAACAAGACTCAGCTATGACAACAGTCATGGGATTGAATGATGAACTGGGTAAGTAGTTCAAGCTATAGACTGAAGCTCACCAAGTTAGACAGTCAAGACGGAAGGCCAGAAAAGCCACCCAGCGAGGCCACAAACGGATGTTTATCTTGATGGCTTAAATAGTTTCGAAATTACACCCATAGGTGAAGACTTCCATTTTCAACATCCGTGACTTCTTTGTAGGAATTTTTCTTTTCTTTTTTTTTTTTATTGTACTTCAGGTGAAGGCTTACAGAACAAAATAGTTTCTCATTTAACAGTTAGTACACATGTTGCCCTATGACAATGGTTAACAACCTCACAACACATCAGTACTATCTTTACTCAACCCTGGGTTCCCTATTACCAGCTTCCTTGTCCCCTTCTGCCTCTGGCCCTTGTCCTGGGCTACTGTACCTCATTAGTCCCGTTTGGTTTTATGGGGCTGTCCACTCCAAGGCTGAACGGTGAACTTCAGAGATGACTTCACCACTGAGCTAAAAGGGTGTCTGGGGGCCATACT